TATATATATATACTGAACTGTGAAGCACTTTGGTCAATTTTTGTTGTTTTAATGTGCTAAATATTATATATATATATAAATAAATTAGACATAGATTTTCCTCTGTGAACAAAGAGTTTGTCCTCCTTTAACCCTGACTTTACCTGGAGCTCCTCAGACTGAAGAGGAGACAAAACTAAACTAAAATGTTCTGTTACATTAAAAATGGAACCAGGTATTAGTCTGATCCCTCACTCACTTTAATGAATCTGATGAGTTTCTGCCTGGTTGGGTTCTGAGCTCGGTTCTGATCCGGCTTTTAGTTTATGAAACATTTTCCTGTAATCAGACAGAGAGAACATCTGGACCTTCATCTTCATGAAGTTCATCATCTTCAGCAGTCTACTTCCTGGTCCTCTCCAGGAACTAGACGGATCCAGCAGCTCAGAGGACTCAGATCAAAGCTTCCTTCAGCTGCTTGGATCGAGTTACAGAACCAATCAGAGCGAAGAACAGAGCCAGGTTGGCTTTGATCTGCTACTACAAAGACAACAAAGAACAGGAAGAACAAACAGACTGCCAGCAAATAAACAACAACAGATAAACAAAACAACAAGTCAAACACAAAACAAGGAACAGAGAGAAAAATAAAAACAAAGATCAATAAGTGACTTTCTCTCATCCAATCAGGATGTCCCATTCTGATTTGAGACAGGTGAGATGTTACCTGAATATCTTTGGTTTTGAAGCCCCGCCCCCTTCTTGTCAGGCTGTTAATAGCTGCCTGACGCCCCTGAACGCCTCGTGAGCAGAGTGAGGTTTGTCCTGCAGTAACCTCAGCCTGCAGACGCTCTTCATCAAACTTTAACACCTCTGTGATGAAGAGCGAACCGTTGAACTTCTCTTGGATGTTTGCAGACTGTCCTCGTCACTCAGGCTGTTGGTGTCAACGCTCTGTGTTGGACACTCTGAGACTTGTGGAGAAATGCAGGACATCAGTCTGTGTCCAACTCAGGGAGGTCAACCTGAAGTCTTCAGGTCCCAAAATATCTCTCTGACCTACATCTGCCCCCGTCTCCCCTTCAAACCTTCATCATATGTTTCTGTTTTGGGTTTGAACTCAGACCCCTTTACACCCCCTCAGACCCCCTCAGACCCCTTTACACACCCTCAGCCCCCCTCAGACCCCTTTACACACCCTCAGCCCCCCTCAGACACCCTCAGACCCCTTTACACACCCTCAGACCCCCTTACACACCCTCAGACCCCTTTACACACCCTGAGACCCCCTCAGACCCCCTCAGACTCCCTTACACACCCTCAGACACCCTCAGACACCCTCAGATACCCTCAGACCCCCTCAAACACCCTCAGAAAACCCTCAGACCCACTTACACA